GTATTCAAAAATTATTTTTCTTCATAGTCTTTGGCTGAAAGTGGTATACAACATCTGTAGGTATTTCAGGTGTAAATAACTTAAACAAGCACTATGGTTAAAAAATATCAAAAAGTTAACAGAGATAATTTGTCAGAAAAGTTAGCACAATCAATTTGAAAATTATTTAGATTTCTGCTATTGGGTACTTTTTGAGTAAAAGGGTATACAAGCGCAGCAAGGCTAATTAACTGGAACGTCCGAGTGTTGCAGAGATATATAGACAGCTCCTATCCCTCTGTAGTATACGTCCTAGCATGTTAAACATATATACACTGATATATGTAGAATCTACGTGATACTGGTTTGCAGTATGGATGATAAATCCTGACATGTTCGCTATCAAAATAATAAACATTGAGGGTTATTGGTTTGATGGAAGGACATACCTTTCATTTTGCGTACAGCCTTGTCGTCCCTCCGCCAAAGGTAATTTAATCAATATTCATAGTGCCAAGGTAAACAATGACAACATCAAATCTAGGGCGCAAATACGCTTTCATTCAGCGAGGCAACAGCCATAGAACTGCGCCTATATATAACACGCTTAGCTTTTGAGGATATTGTAAAAACAGGTCCGGTGAATATTCCGGAACATGAGACGAGCAAACACACACATTATTGTACTTGTAGTTTTCCTCCAGTAACCATTTCTGAAAAAAACCTGGCCTTGATTAGACAAATTTTGTCTCAACCAAACAACGCATATATATGGTTAGCACTAAAACCACTTTTATTAAACTGAGTTTTGGTATCGAATTCATTATTTATCTAATGATTCTCTCCCAAATGATGATTGTAAATATGAAATATTATGTACACGATTTTGGTTTATTATAAATTTTCATGTCAAATCAAGTTAATTAGAAAATAATGAGCAGTCTACAATATACTTCGTAATTGAATTATATAGATGTATCGCTATACTATTTATCGTATATTCATATTTTTTTCTGTATCTATGTTGACAGTCCACTAATCTAAACATTTGAATATGGACAATAAATTAGATATCTGCATAAACGATTTTCTCGAGTTAGTAGCCTCATAAACAAATTTTACTCAATTAGTTGAACTCTTCAGCAGATGTAGTATTTAAAGCTCAACTAATATTAATATCGGTTTTTTTCTAATCTAAAGTTATGTGTTTCACTTAAATATCTTGATAAACTGAACACACTAAAAATAAAATTCTTCCTCAATATTGTGACAAATTCAAATTTTACAAACGCAAGTCCACCTATATTTGTATGTAACGTACTCATTCGACAAGCTATATGATGATGACGTCATTATTTTGAATACTTCGTCGAAAACGCTGCAACAACTTTATTACCAATTTGTCTATAAAAGCGACATTTTGGCAGGTTTTTCCAGTGTAAACAAATAAATTCTGACGTGTACTACCATTAATTCTTCCATAATCAATTATAAAACAAATGAAACATTTACTACATTCAATGATATACAATATATAAAAGTGTATTTGATATAGCCAACCCAGTTAAATACGTAATTGTACTAATAAGGTAACGCATGTATGTCATGCACAGTCGGATCGGATGTTGTTTTATTTTTCATTGGTCAGAATAATATTTTGATTTTTTTTTTCAAAAAGCACTGACTCACTTTCATCAGATGAAGTTAAGATCGATACTGGCACAGAGTTTAAAGGTGGATATATTTTACTGTCAGAAAAAAAGTTATTATATTATTAAGGATCTATAATCGTTTATATTTCTTCCATATCATATGGGCATGAAATGAATATCCTAAAACGTACGTGTAATCACACTATTGTAACGTTATCAGGAAATATGTCGTGCCTTGATAGCGTCAAACGACTGTCTCCGTAGTGAAGAATGTCTATATCGGAGAAATAATTGTGTCTTCTATTTTTTTTTTTTTTTTTTTTGAAATGTTTATGATCAATAGGGTCTTACACTTTTATTTATTTATTTACACGAGACAATATCTTTCCTGATAATTAACACGATATTTGATTTTACAGATGTATTAACAAGACACGTTAGCTGTACTAAACGCTTGTGAACCTATCAAAAGACAATACTAAGATTATAATTTTTCTCATACTACTGACCATTTAATAAATACAAACTCGGGTTTTAATTAGATTAATATAAGACAACTTTTGAACAAAGACTTATTGTAACTATCAGTGACAATATGTAGAGATGTTTATGTTCTGGCATCATGTACAAGTTTACCTGTAAGCAGTAGCCTTTTACAAGAGGTGGGCTGGTTTATTGAGATTTTGCATGTAAAGGGAAGTAACTCTAGAAAAATATGGAGCTAACCTTCATTGGCTTCGTAATGTTTATATCCTTACATCCGACCAATGAGCGATGTCATCATAATTCTTTCTTTTGCATTTCCCCGAATCTTTGTACCATAAGCAAACGGTTCAAGTTGATTTCAAATTTCACATTATTCTAGGTATGGTAGTGACAGAGAGGTTAGGACATCAGAAACCGTTACAGAGCGTTGACAAAATATACATGTATCTGCTATACTGTAGGCTACACAGGAGGTTTAAACATATCTTTAATAGCAGAAAATCACTATATACATGTAATTAAAGAAGTAAAAACATGAGAGGTATTTTGTCATCACACATTTCCCATTTTATCAATAATTACATATGCAAAATAGTTTGGCAAGCAAAGGGTATTTCACACTCATCATTAGTCAATATATACATATGTAGGGTAGTTTGTCATACACAGGGTGTCTTACATTCATCATTAGTCAATATATACATATGTAGGGTAGTTTGTCATACACAGGGTGTCTTACATTCATCATAGTCTATATTTATATATGTAGTGTAGTTTGTCATACACAGGGTGTCTTACATTCATTATTAGTCAATACATACACATGTAGTGTAGTTTGTCATACACAGGGTGTCTTACATTCATCATTAGTCAATATATACATATGTAGTGAAGTTTGTCATACACAGGGTGTCTTACATTCATCATTAGTCAATATATACATATGTAGTGTAGTTTGTCATACACAGGGTGTCTTACATTCATCATTAGTCAATATATACATATGTAGTGAAGTTTGTCATACACAGGGTGTCTTACATTCATCATAGTCTATATTTACATATGTAGTGTAGTTTGTCATACACAGGGTGTATTACATTCATCACAGTCTATATCTACATACGCAGGGTAGTTTGTCATATACAGTTTATCTTACATTCATCAAACATTTCTTACAAATCCTTGTTGAATTATGTCCTCTCAGTTGATTCTCTATTACAATTGGGTCATTTTTGAATTTGAAACATTACATGTGTATAAGGATTGTTTAATGTAAGTGAAAACATTGATTGATTCATTTGTTCTTAAAACTATTATGTTGATGTTCACAGATGTAGATAGTGTCGTGTAATACCATAGAATGTGTAGATGCAGACTTGCGAACGCCTGTATGTTTAAACACGTTATATATCACTTTGTCATATAGCATCACTGACGAGTCCAAGAAAGACGAAACAGCTGTAGGATGTAGCATCACTGACGAGTCCAAGAAAGACGAAACAGCTGTAGGATGTAGCATCACTGACGAGTCCAAGAAGGACGAAACAGCTGTAGGATGTAGCATCACTGACGAGTCCAAGAAGGACGAAACAGCTGTAGGATGTAGCATCACTGACGAGTCCAAGAAGGACGAAACAGCTGTATGATGCAGTTTAATCCATGGTTTGACCCTACAGTATCTCACTCTATATTATGAAATGGTGCTATTCAATTGTGTGTCTTTTGTACAATTTTTAAGATAGCAGGTGGTAGACACTGCTGATGGACTTTAAGTCCCAGAGGTTTGCCGTAACTTGCTTGCCACGTTTAAATTCACTCGAATAGTGGCACGTTTCAAAAAATAAATATGTACTTGACGCTATCTTAAAATTATCTAAAGTATGAAAATTACGACATTTGTCTAATTATGGGGCTGCTGCACCTCCCCGTCTAAATTTTGACTTTTCGTTTGATCACTTTTTTCTTAGTCGCCTCCTAGGTTTTAAATTTTAGGCCATTATCATCACTGACGAGTTCTAGAAGGACGAAACAGCTGTATGATGTAGCATCACTGACGAGACCTAGAAGGACGAAACAGCTGTATGATATAGCATCATGACGAGCCCTAGAAGGACGATACAGCTGTATGATGTAGCATCACTGACGAGTTCTAGAAGGACGAAACAGCTGTATGATGTAGCATCACTGACGAGTCCTAGAAGGACGAAACAGCTGTATGATGTAGCATCACTGACGAGTTCTAGAAGGACGAAACAGCTGTATGATGTAGCATCACTGACATCACTGAAACACGAGTTCTAGAAGGACGAAACAGCTGTATGATGTAGCATCACTGACGAGTTCTAGAAGGACGAAACAGCTGTATGATGTAGCATCACTGACGAGTTCTAGAAGGACGAAACAGCTGTATGATGCAGTTTAATTCATTGCTTGGCTCTACTGTATCTAACGCTTATAAAATGGTGCAATTCACTTTTGTGTCTTTTGTACAATCCTTTAATCGATGTTTTTTTAGCAATCAGAATTCGTTTAAAATATTATAATTTGTCATTTGATGTGTTGGATACAATCTTTTCGCAATTCCATATTACACGATATGTCCCCGATTTTTATTGATTTTGGTTAATACGATATAACAAAATCTGAAGGCAACGTACAGATGAAATAAACTTTTACTTCCTTAAACATTTAAAATGCAGCTCATCACAGAGCATGATCATCAAACATCAATTTTGCAATGTAAACGTGACAGAGACAAGCACAAAATACAGATGTTAATTAGGGAAGACACAGACAACAATGTTTATATTTACGATACTTGTCAGGAAAGACAGAATCAGTTAAGCTGCTTATTAGAGACGACACAAACAACAATGTTTATATCTAATTCTTGATGTATCCGCCAAAATAGAAGATGATCATAATTACACCCACAGCGGTGGAAGTGATAAAGAGAAACATGTCGATGTATGACCTCACTTCCGGTACTGTCAAATCCACCGATTCTGTGCTACTATGCAAGGACACGTTATCGCAATGCTTTTCGTTATTTTCCGGCGTTTTTATATTTTCAACTTCATCTCTTTTCTTACTTTTAAAGCTGCAATTTTTGAAAGATCTCACCACACGGATAAACCGTTCTGGGTATCCGTCTAGAGTGTCAATGGATTCTAATCTGAGTGTGAATATCGTAAGTAACACTAGAACGGAGCTACCTATGAGTGAAAGCGTCAGAAAGTAGGAGATGCCCGCCATAGGCTCGGAAACCTGTGGAATGCTTGCTGAGATCAGACTCAAGTAAAGGGCTAACGACAACAGCATTGATATAGCATAGGAAACCCTTCCACCGGAAGAGACCGGAATGAGAAAAGCAGCGGAGGATAGGAGTATGAGTAGCACAATGGGCGCGATTAACGATATCATGTAATATGTTGATTTTCTGCTAAGGGTTAAATTTATCTGAAGTGCCGCTACTTGTGGTTCGTAAAATGAACTCTGTACTATAGAAGTGGAAGCAATGTCCCATTCACCATTTGGCGAAAGGAACTGTAAAGCGACTGTGCTATTTGAAGGGATGAGACGCACCTCAGATGGAGTGTAACCCCAAGGGCAGATTACAAAAGAACAAGTCTGTGTGTCAGTCGGATAGTGGGTCATGTCTACATTACATATTGATTTCACCAATTTTCCTGTTATCAACTGTATTTCTCCTGATGGCTGTGCATTCGCAAGGAACTCATTGCCGGAAAAAGACTCGAGCTCAGCTGCTGTTGTCAGCAGAAATATCTTAGGGTGCCATATATAAGATGCCTTTAGATTGTAGCCCGTCAATCCACCGTAGGAACTGGGAGTCCAAGATAGTCGATAATCTGTCCACTGGGTTTCTACGCAAAAAGTCATCTCGATAACACCGGACACGGCATCAATGTTAAGAATATTCATAAGATATATTGCTGCGGATACATTGAGTATGTCAGTGTGATTGTGGACTGGCACGTAGTTGGTGGAATAATTTGAGAAGAGATCGGTGTGAAGCTGAACTACATCCTCCAATGTTGCACAAGTTACAACTTGTGGTGACGCGAGAGCTACGAAGAATAGAGAAATCCGACACACCTCCATTTGTTAATTGATATGTTCTAGCAATACTGTCACTTCTTCACGTGTGCCTGAAAATACAAATAAAGAAAAAAAGTCTTTTCAAAAATACGACATTAACACTTACTGAAAGTGATCGTAATAGGATAATAACTGTGCGATTCAAAATAACAATTGCACTAGTTTTTGTCATTGTGTCAAACAAATATCGTTTCGTATTTTTTTTTAATTTCCTTTAGCCAAAGAAATCCGCCAATATTTGTCAAGTTGAAGACTTGTTGAATGCAAGACACAGTTGGTAAGGCTGATTGAGATTAGCGATAATACGCAAATGTCACTAGTGTACTATACATGTTCCTTGGAGGGGTTTTCATTTGGAGTCGATTGTGATATCATAATATGGAAGAGGACGTTACGTCACGAAGTGAAAATGGCGCAACATAGTGGCTGCATCCGTTTGATTGTGTCCTCCATATTTTTATCATAAAAAACACTCTTCCTCCTTTCAATAACCAACATGCCTTGGGTCATTGCACGATGTAGTGGCATGCTTAGGGAACGGGATTTCAAGTCTGGAGAAATTGAAGCAACTGTATGTTTGTCAGCTGCAAAACAGGTTAGGAATAACTTTGCTCTTACTTTCTGTTATATAAGTTGCACAAGTACAAGTATCATCCGTATACAAATGAGAATAGGTCGTTTGTACATGTGTTCATTTGCTAAATGTACTGACATTGGGATATTTTGGCTGTTTTCATTTGGCTTTGTTAAACCACTTTAAATTTCCACTCAAACTATCTGTAGTAATTTTGCAGTAAAAATTCGACCTCTAATTTCTTGAAAGTAGGAGAAGAATGGAACTCATTTTAATAAATAACCGTGAATTCACAGTCTTCGTTCCAGCATGATACAGGCCTAATATCACGATTTTGGCCTATGGGTTAGTGAAAAGAAGTCATTTAGATATTTCAACGTATTTCGTGTATATGTAACCTTGGAAAAGGTCAATGGTTTTCATTCGTATAAACTTGGTATGGGTTTATCCATACTGATTTAGTATCAATACCATGGACTACTTCAGTATTGAAAATAAAACGCTGTGACACTGAAAGTGGGTCAATGTTCTTTTTGTAACAAATCTGACAACCTTTCCACACTCTAGGCCTATTGGCTATCTAGGAGAAAAATGTTTAAACATTTTAAGGCATTTCATCACTGTGATGTTTCAATTGTAAATATAACCAAATAAAGGAATTACACAGTATCGTGCATTGTCAAAGCTAATAAACATCACAAGAAAACACTCCCCTACAATAAATGTACTTTCGATATATTTCATTGTGTCAAAACTATAATTATACAAACGATACCGCTGTATCTGAACAACCACGATATAGGAAAGAACTTTAGCTGGATATTTGCAAACAATATTTATACAAACTAAACTGTACAAGCGATATTTATATAAACGGTATGTGTACAAGCAAAATTTATATAAACGGTATCTGTACACGTGATATTTATATAAACGGTATCTGTACACATGATATTTATATAAACGGTGTCTGCACAAGCGATATTTATATAAACGGTATCTGTACAAGCAATATTTGTATAAACGGTATCTGTACAAGCGATATTTATATAAACGGTATCTGTACAAGCGATATTTATATAAACGGTATCTGTACAAGCGATATTTATATAAACGGTATCTGTACAAGCAATATTTATATAAACGGTATCTGTACAAGCAATATTTATGTAAACGGTATCTGTGCACGTGATATTTATATAAACGGTATCTGTGCACGTGATATTTATATAAACGGTATCTGTACACGTGATATTTATATAAACGGTATCTGTACAAGCGATATTTATATAAACTTTAACTGGGCAAGCGATATTTATATAAATGGTTTCTGTACAAGCGATATTTATATAAATGGTATCTGTACACATGATATTTATATAAACGGTATCTGTACGATCGATATGTATATAAACGGAATCTGTACACGAGATATTTATATAAACGGTATCTGTACAAGCGATATTTATATAAACGGTATCTGTACAAGCGATATCTATATAAACGGTATCTGGACACGTGATATTTATATAAACGGTATCTGTACACGTGATATTTATATAAACGGTATCTGTACGATCGATATGTATATAAACGGTATCTGTACAAACGATATGTATATAAACGGTATCTGTACAAACGATATTTATATAAACGGTATCCGGACACGTGATATTTATATAAACGGTATCTGTACAAGCGATATTTATATAAACGGTGTCTGGACACGTGATATTTATATAAACGGTATCCGGACACGTGATATTTATATAAACGGTATCTGTACAAGCGATATTTATATAAACGGTATTTGTACAAGCGATATTTATATTCAAATATTTTCAAACGATACAGTTTATGTTAAAACGAGACAGTTTATGTTCAATTGAAATACGTACAAACGATACACGAATGTTTACAACGAGATACACATTCATTCACAATCAAAATACATTGAACAGAATTTTACTGTGTGAAAGTTTCGAATACACCAAGAAATATGTCAAATGAAATAAGGATATCTTTATCATCGAACGATATCGGCACGTGATAAGAGTACGTATGATACATTAAAATAGTGTAAATTATCTCTGTTATGTAATACCTCATTCTACCTGTACATAATAAAACGTCAATTAATACTGAATGTGAAAACCTTCCTAAAAAAGTTAATTTACCAGTTCTTTATCTGTTGGGATTTTTTTCTTTTTCATCATAAGCAATTTTATGATATCCCTTTAGAGATATTAAGTGTTATCTTCGTACCATAAAGATAGTTTTTAGAATATACTGATATAAAGAATTATATTTTATAAAAAAAGTTATAGGAAAAACTCTTACCTTGACTTCATCTATCACTGGTCTCTCTCTGAGACCGCCAGCTTTAGGCGCACTAACAGTGTTGGTCGTAATACCTACAAATATTGAATATAACACAAGCACTGCCTTATAACCGGGATAATGATCGACCTTAATGAAATAACGGATTAAATGTTGGTTTCATAACGATAAATCCTGTATATACATTAAATACCGATCACTTACAATCTTAGCGCAAAAACGATTTAAATAAATAGGCGAGTATATGGGACGCAGTTAATGCCATTCAGCAGAAAACAGAATCGGACCTGACACGGGGTTGATGAAACTTTGTATATGGGGATATTTTTTTTTTTTTTTTTTTTTTTTTTTTTTTTTTTTTTTTTTTTTTTTTTTTTTTTTTTTTTTGTTTTTTTTTTTTTTTGTTTTTCGAAAATCCCTAAATGTACCATTTGAAATTTTTGCGTATTTCAATACTTTTTCTTCGATTTCATCACATCAAAAATTTGAAAGGTATTTTTAGATGTCTGATACGATAAGACTGGATATCTGTCTAAACCGGACACCTTGTGACCGAATAATTTGGCCGGTTTGCACAGAGTTCCGGATAGTAGAGAGTGCATTGTTATAAAGTTTTGTTGGAATTGGGGCTTATTTTTATTATTTGACCGGATTAGGCAGATATCTGGATTGCACAGAGTCCGGTTTAGACAGAGTCCAGTGTAGATTTTATAACTTCAACTGAAGATCAAACTGACCAGTCCTACTAGACAAGTTATTCATATGTTGACTTATATTTATTCATTAAAGAAATATTCACGACTAGAAAGTGTTCGTGTGCATGTAGGTACTTCAACCCCATAGATTTATTACACATGCGATTAAAATGAAAAAAAAATACTTGCAATTGCAATTTTATTTATTTATTATTTATTGCGATTTTGGAAGGGTCGTTAATTTCGCAAAAAATAGATACACTAAAAATCTTCCCGAGATAAAGTAGTATTGTTACGTTTTTTATAAGACATAACCGACATTGAATTTATCCCAGTTTCCTTATCATGCTTTTTGTGTCATTGATACATATATTGAATGATGAAGCTACAACGAATAATCGTAAACACGAAAGAAACCCACATGATTCTTAATAAGCAATTTTTTATAAGTAATAATATATATAATGGTATACAAGAGGAAAACTCCATTAAGTTTCGGTAATATTTGTGTGTATAAAATATTACATATTCTAAAGTTATCAGATGCCAATAGACGACAAAATATGCCATAAAAAAATTACATAGATTTTTTTATTGTGTTGCCAATTTAGACAATATGTATGGAACCGTTGTAAATTAAAGAATGACACTGAAAATAGTTGTTTTGTATGGAAGGGTACAAATTAATATTATAATATTGCAAAAATGTACAAATATCATAAATTGTTTTCTGTTCGAGATTTGTTAAGCTCGTGCATTATTCTATTAATATTCCTAATACTTAATCACGTACTGATTACGAATTGGTCTGTCTCTGTGTTTTAATAGGAACATTGTTTTTTTTCCATGATTAAAGGATATATAATCTTTTGGCTAGATCACAACGTTTTGTATAACGATGTAATGTAAACGGATTTAAGTGTGTTGTGTAGAGGCTAGTAACGACCATCGTTCAATTTTGTCACCTCATCTGAATTTATTCATATCGTTTTACCTTGAGTTGAGCTTAACTTTGACCTCGTAGGTAAAATTACCTATACATGTTATTTCCACGTGCGTTCCACGTGTGCAATTTGCCACGATTTATAACTGTTAAGTAACACACAATATAACCCTATTTAGTACACGCACAGTGGGTTTTATACCAGATATCGCAATGGGTTATCTTGATTCAACGTTTAATAAATGTTTCCTCAAATTTACAGGATAATTTCATCATAAACAAATACGAAATCTATGAGACAATGAGAATGTGTCACTCCTTATAAAAGTTTACATAGACAAGCAAACATTTAGGTACGACTGATCAATGTGTTAAGTTAATCTTTTTGGTAAATTCGTGGTGGTCCGTCCTAAATGGAAACAATGACGGTATAGCTTTATTATCAGTATTAGATAAATGGATCAGAGACAAGTCCTAGCAACTTATTAACTCTTCTCCATAAATGAAATTACAAATAATTAATGTACTGCACGTGACACATATTAATACTATAAATATGAAGATAAGTAATTCGTAGACGTACAATTGTAAGTTTACATTATTTTGTCAAAAGGAGGAAAAGATGAGATGATTGGATAGAAAGAAAAGAAGAGAAAAAGAGATAGTATAGATTTTATTAATTTTTTATATCAATTTTATATCTAACTCGTGTAAAACTGTTGAAACGCATAAACATTGGACTTCATAACGCATTTTCTTTTACCAGTACAGGTTTAAATATGAGTAAATTATCTCTAAAATGTTTCAAGATCATCTAGAGTCTATCAATGATGCGGATAGATAATAAAATCATTTAACATGTTCTACAAAACAAGTTTGTAAAACGACGAGTTTATCGAGAGCAGATGTTAGCGATCTCATTATATTATTCCAGCCACGTGTGGTTCTGATAGACGGTAAACAAATTATTTAATGTAATAATATTAATATTAAAATCTTAACCCCAAGCAACATATTTGTCGTAATAACTGTAATGATATAGAAAAGCTAATTTGAAATTATATACAAATAATTGTCCTGTATTTTGAAGCAATGCACACAACTGGTTGTTTATGAAAATTATAATTAAAGAACAAAATAGGCTCTCGACAGGTAGCCGATAAATGATGGTGACGGCACCCATATGACTCCTCTTTATTACAATAATTGGGAGGTTGTTTGAAATGTTTTCGTGGTCTCGGCACACAAAAAATAATCAGTCAAAATTAAATAAAACTAGAAAATATATAAACAAACAAATAAAGATTTACACGGATACTCGCGAAAAAGTTCAAGGAGATTAAGTCTAGGTGTTCAGGAAACTGAAGTGTTTTCCACTGGTGTTAGGTAGGGCTCTCTAATATTTGTCAAACAGGGTTTTTTTTTTTTTTTTTTTTTGTGAAAACTTTAAAATTTAAATAACCATCGTAATCGAATCAGATGCCAAATAAAATGTTGGTTTCTGAACCCGTAAGTGGAAAATAAGCGAGAAAGAAATTATGACGGGATTACAGAGAAATGTAACACTATACACTGAAATGATGATGGCGTGCACAAAACTATTGAGACAAATGAGAAATTCTGAAGCAGGGAAGGATTTGAAATACATTTTTATATGATTTCATCTTAAATACGGCTGAACAAGTTCTAAACAGACTGTTTTAAAGCTGCTAAAATGGTTATAATAACAAAGTATACTGAAGACGTGTAAAGTGAGTGGACTGGATTAGGACTAACTCTGTTCACTGTTACCTACACTTAACGTGGCTATAAAGTTGGATCAGCTGTTTAGTTAAACGTATGCTGAAGAATCATAGTGGTCAGAGACCATAGGGCTGTTACTCTTTATTCACGACTTTATATCAAATATCGAAATATTGAAAATATTGAATACAGGATCATACTCTGACATCATAGTGCAAATATTGTACCGCACTCTGTTTTGTTATGACTAGTATTTGTACAGGTTAAATATTTGTAAAAACTAAATAGTATATCTACTTTACTTTTGATATGGATAATATCATGGTGTAAATGACACTCCTTGTCATCAGCTTTTTCATTATCGAGATTTAGAATAAATGTGTTTGTAAAATATCTTGACAGTAACCGGATGGTACCCATGCACATACATAGTGTTTAATGGACGGTTGTTGTCGGGGATGTGGCATTCAATACAGTATTGTTATATTCTGTTACATAATGTTTATGATCAAAAGTAAAAAAAAAAAAGATTAGTCTTCTAATAGATGTTAGTCTAGAAATCGATTTTTTATTTCTTATATATTTATTTTATTTATTTATTTATATATTTATTTTATTTATTTATTTATTTATTTATTTATCTATTTATTTATATCTCTTTATCTTGGTAACATATTAAATCCTGTGGCACTAGTACTCTCTGCTTATCTGGGAAAAGTATAACCATGCTGTCATCTTGTAAACAAGCCAGTTCCTTTATGTGATCTCGACTCTTAACAAAAGTTTACTTTTTTTTCTCTTGTACAACGAAGCATGTTATCAAAAGGCAGCTGTTGAAAAACATTTGACGGGTTTATCGTCTCATCCATCGCTCAATCATACTGAACTTTTTATTCATTAAAAAACTCAACAATAGATTGAGCTTGAATACTTGTTACTTTTTATCTATCTTGGTTTCCATCTACACGTATACTTTTTAAAGATTAAGATCAGCGTTCCTGTAAAGTATGTAAGATATACCGTCCTTTATTTAAACACTTGAACCCCAAGTTGTTTGTTACCTGAAGTCCACACATTTGTTAAACCTTCAATAGCCCATACTTTTGTAGAAAAAGGAACGTTTGCCTTCCAATATCGAGGAATACCTCCATGTGATGTGTGTAGAAAAAATCTACAATGAACTAAATGAAAATATCAGCGTTTCAACGTATTCATAGCCCAAATCTTAATTCTATAATTTATATGGAGACCCCTAAAAACCGTACAAGAAGAATGTGACCAGGTGCTCCGCTAGAGCAAGCGTCTTTTGCTTCATTGACGACCCCCGCTAAGTAAACATTGGTCAATCCCAGATAGTTATGTCACGTTCTCAAAATGAGAACAAGATTTACAACAACGGAACCAACATGTAAACTGACGAGCATTAAATACGTATAGTGTCATAATGCACAAAGAAATAGAATATTTCTCGATGAGACCGCCATGACGACCGTAAAACGTCACCATACTTTCCATCAATCTGCACTTTTTGAAATCTGGTATTTCAATCTTGTCTGTCCGAAGAAAATCGTGATAATGGGAACAATCCCTCGAATACCGAATCAGCTATGAAATGTAACATTATAGGTTGGGAATGCAGGGATGTTGCTATCCAGAAATGGAAAATACGATAAGAAAATGGAAATAATCAGGCTTATCAAACAGTTGAAAGCTAACCTTGTTGATTTCATTGAAGGAAAAGATCGAAATAAGCGTGCCATGCCTTTGATTTTTAATTGATGTCATTAATTTATATTAAATTGAAAAAGAACGACTTTGCAAGGTCTTTGTGAACCGTTTTGATAATTCCTCTGCACCGCCGTTCACCTTTCGCGGAAAGAAAGCTATAATGACGAGATAACGTTCAATTTAGAATGTAATATAGTAGTGTACAGAGTGGAGAAATAAAAATATTTAAGAAGAAATTTTCTTAAGAAGAGGGCGCTGAATATTTTGAAGATGTTTAAAACAACATTTGTGCAGAAATACATCTTTGCATGTATGACACCATTTGTGCAGGATAACATTAGTGTAAAACAACAGTCATTAAGCGCAATGTATAAAAACGCAATTCTTGTGTGTAAGACAGCACAAGTTTTTTCCCGATTTATATCATATTACACAAACATGCTTTAACAAACAAAATATTAAATACTTCCATTGTTTAACTGGAACGTTTGATTGTATGCACAATGATCTCTGACTAGTGATGTAATGTCAATATTTCTCTTTTTTTTTCACACGATGACCATCGCCATTAACGAAAGTTGAGAAAGGACACAAAGGTGTGTTCTAAATTTTACCCCGTTAACAATGCAATGACGTATACGACAGCCTAATACATAATCCGGTTTTATAACTTCCCTTGTTAATCTAGTACACGTTATATATATATATATATATATATATATATATATATATATATACAAGAGTGTTAGGGCTGAATGTATCTAGCCTAGAAGACGCAGTCGGTCGATGGTAACAAATCCTTTGCTTGCGCAAATACGTACAAACCAGGTAAGTAAGCTTTTTTTCCTCAGCAACACAGCGTCTTATATTTTTCAATCAGTTAGACAGTTTCAATGTGCGCTAGAACTATGTATGGAAAATTAATGTAAATCAGTTTGTCCTCGTTTTTAGACTAAGAACATATTTAAGTGTTCCAATCGTTGTTATGTACTCATATTCATAGGTACAAAGTTGACGTGATTTTTATTTAGATAAAACAACACGAAAGCGGTACAGCACACTATTAATCTATTAGGTTCAGCTGTGAGGCTCTATAAGCATTAGACAATTTAAGACGACATCAATGAAAGCGATGTTAGAGGTCTGTCACTATTCTCTGTCTTGACATACAGTAAATCATAGTCGTTGTATTTATTTTTATATCTTTCTATCCACTTAAGGAGAAATGCAAAAGATCACTGAGTCAGGTATTTAAATCAATCATTCACGGTCCATTGATTTCTTACCTGTCTCAATACACTATGCACAACAAAACTCTCCCATTTAGTCTTATATTTTTTAGTTGTCTGGACACATTTTCTCGTTTCATTTAATTTTTTTTTAATGTATCGATGACCTTTACCTTGTTTCAGGACACATCGCAAGACTTTGATAGCGCTAGAGTGTTGCTGGATCAGTTAGAATGTATAACGATAGTGTTATATATAATGATAGGAGTTAGCATACAACCTTTGTTTATCAAAAACAATGGTTATTCTGTCAGAAAAAAACTATATGTACATCTAAACCGGACAACGATGTTAAGTAGGAATGTTTCGCGTAACCAAATCAGCGGATAGATTTATTGCCTATAACAATTGAATAATCCAACGGTGCTGTGTCTAAGTATTATAAGATATAATAACAAATACTGTCATTATCATGACATATAGGATAGTGTACAGTGGTTTAAAATATACATAAAATAACTCAATATTTCATTCTGTTCTAGTTGTCGTTTGTGAAGAGTCCAAGCATGAAGTCTGTCAGAAATTCAGAAAATTTGGTCGTCCTGCTAGCATTAATGGCGGTTAGTATCCATCTCGTGGCTGGAGCTACGTTAGATGATATGCAAAGATTACAAACACAACTTTTTGCAAACTATTCAAACATACCACGGCCTGTTTATAACCAAAGTGAGACGGTACAAGTTGGTGTGCAGATGTACCTTATGTCAATCATTCAGGTTGACGCCGTGTCCAGCTTAATTGAGTTGAGTACGGGAGCGATGATCACATGGTCAGACTACAGGCTTGCATGGGATCCAAACGATTACGGTGGACTCACTTCATACAGTGTAGATCCAAACACCATCTGGTATCCGGGCCTCTTCATCACCTCTACATCCGACGATCTTGAACAGATTGGAAATAACGATTTTCACGTAGATATACTTTCGAATGGAACGATAACATGGATCGTAGGTAAATTAATTATGTCGTCATGTAATGTCGATATGACAAGCTTCCCGATGGATACCCAAAGATGTACTGTTATTCTAATGCCATGGGGTTACACAGCATCAGAGGTCACGGTATACCCCGTCAGCAGAAGCATCAGCATGGACTTTAGTAGTGCTAATGGTGAGTGGAGTATCGAAAGTACTTCGGTTAGCGAGTACGACTTATTCATGCCATATTATTCATCTCTTGCGGTTCAGTTGACTCTTAAAAGGAAATCAACTTATTTCGTTATTTCGTTGATCTTGCCTATGAATCTGCTCGGCTTCCTCGTTCCATTTGTCTTTCTTCTCCCTGCATCCTCTGGGGAACGTATATCTTATATCATAACAATGTTCCTCTCCTTGGCCGTGTACATGACAATTGTAACAAGCATGATCCCACAGGTGTCCGACCCAATGGCTGGAATAACATACTACACCTTTGTGTCTCTGGCCTTCAGTTCAGGAATAGTCTTTCTGACGATTTTCACATTAAGATTCGAAGCTCTGGACGACGTGGGCCAGTTTCCTAAATTTATCGTATGGACAGTGAAAAAGTTATTCATGTGTTGCAACAAAAAACGAAGAAGAACTCAAATAGAAGATGGAAAAACAGGAAGAAATGAGGGTGAATTTGATGAATGTGAAACGGAAACAAAACTCACCAAGGCGATAATGATGAAATATATCGACATGGTTCTTTTCATATTCACAATGGCTGTACCTTTAATTGTCAATATTTTTTTCATACCACTTTGTTGGTGAATTCTTGTCGATTAGTGGAGTAAAGCCGAACACATTCAGGTAGATATTACCTTAATGTGGAAACGAAGAGGTAACATACCAATACACTTTCTCAATGTTATATCTGTAATGGTGGTCACTATTTTGTTCTAAAGTTGACCTTATTCTCTTTCTTTATTTCATCGTATTATCATTAATCACAACATTTTTTATTCCTATGCATGTGACCACGCCCATGCTAAACACATTCAGTGTAATTCCGTCATCATCGTTACCTGTCATGTTCAATGTATAAGTTTTATATTCAGGAGCTTCTTCAGGGATAATGTAGGATTTGGTTATTTCATTAGTTTACACATCTGAATGTATTAAAAGTGTACGTAAACTTATACTATACGTATACAAAAAATAGACCATTTAATGACTTTCATGACAATGGGAAAGCTCTTTGGAAGAAGAAAAGAGTACACATGGCTGTACATGTGTTCGGTTAGTTACTGTCGGATCGGTCTTCAGAAAAAATGGGAACCGCCCCGTCTTCTGTACTACTACATTTGTGATGACCAATAGACACAGTAAAACAATATCTTTGACCGATTTCTGACATGATTGAAAAGCCAGAATGAGTGCGGATGCCCACTTGAGGAACTTTTTTATAGTGTCAGTACGGCATATTATTAGACTTAAAATATATGACGATTCTTTCGAGATCCTTCTCACTGAAATAAAATTTCTTTATTATGTCTTTCTACGTGTTTGAGTATTTACTGGATCCTTTAAATATTCTTGTGATTCTGAATATTTAGCAAGGGGATTTACCTCTACAAAAAGTGACATTCGAAATTTCTATACATTCCACAGCTAAATTTTATCTGTTCAGGTTAAAACTTTTTGAATTTGTTCACTTGTATCATTCCACTTCATACAAGTTAGAGGCAATGCTTCTTATATACGTCAGTAGTATACCGGCGTCAGAAAATGCGTAACAGAAAATAATTCTGATTTTTTCCTGAATAACAGACATTCTTGGTTATTTTCAGTTTTTAAAGAAACGGGGAAAGTGGTTAAATAAGTCGAAATTCACAAATTTAAAATGTGAATTTAGACGTGAACATTCGTGCGAAAGTTAGTTGAAATCTACCCAAGACTTCCAATCGTTCACTCAACAGATGAACCATAGCAACGAGGAAACGTTGAAATTGTTGATGACGTTTTATCAAGCCGTCAACTATGTTGTCAAAAATGTTGTCCACGATCGAAATTTCTTCAAAATGTGATAAAAATCGTTATTTTTTCCATTTACAAATATAGATAACAAAGAAACATTAAAGTCAAAATAATAGTTTATATTGAATTATGTCCAACTTTCGCCAAACATTATAGAGGTATGTCCTTAAGAGTAACAGCACGCTGACAATATTTGTGAGGCTGAAATAGCTCGCATTGAAAAAATGTCCTGTACCGCCTTGGCATCGTAATCCGGATAGTGTTTAGGAAGGATAATTTTATGATGCTGAAAAAAAGTTGAAACTTTACCCTTCAAACAATGTTCACACAGAGACACACTTTTTATGAAAACTTCTAACTTCTAAATCGAAATGTAATTTCCGAAGTCTAGTTATTACATTGTGATTCTACTGAGTGATAACTAAATTTAGGAACCACTTCAATCGCTCGTTCTCGCGATTACATTCATATTGCAATCATGCCATTTTCTCCCCTTCTTCAAGTGACTGTAAATTCAGTTATTAAGTTTGGTCACATGTTTCTTTTGTGGCCTTTCTTTCTCCTCTTTTTTCGTTCTTCGTAACTTGCTTGCAACGATTTACTTCAATCGAATAGTGGCCCGGTTCAATATATATACATGTACTTGACCCTGTTCTAAAATTGCCTGAAACATGAAAGGAACTACTGCACCACCCCGTCTAGTTTTTTTACTTTTCTTTTTGATCACTTTGATCATTCGTTTCCTAGGCTTCAAAATCTAGGCCCTTACCATCACTGACGAGGACAAAACAGCTGTATGATACAGTTTAATTCATTGTTTGGCACTACTGTATCTAACGCTTAATCATTGTAAGGTGCTATTCTCTTGTGTAACTTTTGTACAATATTTCAAAAATTCTTTCGTTTTATATTTTTATTCACCTTTGCCATTATGTCCCTATTCTATGTGTGAATAATAATATTAAGTTGGCTCCGGAAATTTAAAATGAACGGAAGTATCAAAAAAATTAGCAATACATGTGTCTTACCTGCCTTTTAACGCCTTAATGCGCGAAACAGACTTGGCTGTATTGCTTTCTGTTTGGACATCATGGAGTTACTATCTTTTTTTTCCACTGGCATTACTACTGACTTTGTGTGTTTTCAGTTTGCACTCTTTTTGCTTAATACATTTTATTACCTCTCAACAGGAAAGCATTTGGAAATGATATTATCTATAAATAGCTTTATTCCAGTTCCCTAATTCATACTTACTCCTTGGAAATATATGCTTTGTAAAGAAAACTTATCATATCTATAACAGATCTCAAAAGATGCATCACGAAGAGGTTTACGGTTGTCATAGCGATTTCATTGAGAAACATTCTATTTCTATTTCTTTGTGTGAAGGTGGGTGTGGTTGATGCTCGTAAGTGTGTCTTTCGGTTCCATTGTTAAAAACATTGTTCTCATTTGAAATCGTTACATTAGTTATTTTGATTGACCGAAATGTATACGTTGGATGTCATCGATTAATCAGAAGACGCTAACTCTTCCGGAACACTTGATCTTATTGTCCTTGTGCTTTTTCAGAGTGTCCGTTTTAAATACCCTTATCGCACGGGCGTTTGTAGCTTGTGATACGGTCAATGTCAGTGTAAGTACCACACAATGTATATTATTTTACTTGTATGAAATTTAGTTATGAGTAGGTTATTTAAAGTAAGCTAACACAGAACAATAAACATTGTTAAATCAATATCACAACTGATGTTCATTACTTCTTCGGTTGTATTCAATGTTTTATTTTGAATATTTACATTTTATGTGTGTATCCTCTATTTGGCAATATCAACAAAATCCGTGTTTACACTTATGAAAACGTCAAGCCTCGCTACATTCTTGTGGAAAATTTAGTATGAATCCGCCAATGAGTTTGTTCGAAATTTTTAAAATGTATTAATTTATTTTGAATTAACTAGAAAATATATCACGAAAACGAAATAAAGCGATGACGTTATTGTGGGGTTTTTCTTTTTACTTTCTGTAGTGCATTAAACACCTCACAATGATTATAGCTTTTACGTAGCGTAGATAAGAAAATGCTATCAAAATGTAGATACAAAAAATGGTTTTGCTTTTGTTCTGTATACTGGTGAGATTTCAAATGACGCTCGTTAAAGTAGGATGTGCTTGCATGTTTATAGAATGATGTTTTAAATCAAATTACAAAGTTCAAAATCTTTAAAAAAAAAAAAGAATTTTTCAGAAAGTACTAATCACGACATAGAACGAAACTTAATAAGACAATGAGTTACATGTATGTAGCTTATTATGGATTGTATAGAATATGCAAGTGTATCATGTATGAAATTTGCAGTACAATGTAAGAAAACGTTAGCCATATACAATTATTGGATCATTACTTATCAAAAAAGATAGTTCTATATTTAGCTCTATATCCTAAGGAGGCATGATACACCCACCAGAAAGGAAACTTTATGACCCTATATCAGTGGGTGTTCGTGTACTTAGATGCAATCAGATAGGGAAACAGCTCACTCAATCTTTCCCGAATCTACAGGTATGTTCGATGGGAAAGTGATTTTTCAACATCACGCTTGATATCTATTTATAAAATGTCAAAAGGCATTAAACTTGCTGCAAATTCCAATTTGATAAACGATATGATAATATATAACAGATGATAATTCGTTGTAATTGACTCAGTATTAAATCTGAAGTTGATAGTGACAGGTCTTTTATTTCAAACTAACGAAAATGTATCCAATTATTCATAAAAAATAGCAGTGTCTTTCAGTTGTGACTGCAAACAGTCCCGAATTTGTTGACGGATGTGCTATTATAGATCGGTCCTTAAGCAACAAACCAATGATGACGGTGTATTTTAGCTACAATCACAAGTTTACCTTCATTCACTGTAACTAGCTGAAATTTTACTAGAGAAACACCGATTACAACGCAGACTTACATTCGACCTTGGGAAAATATATATCTTAATTGTCAATAAACAATGGCACGATTCAGATTATAAATATATGCTTGACTTTCTTTTATCAATTTTCCGAAATTTATTGAATTATTGAGTCAATGCACATAACCATCTAGACTTTGACATTTCTGTTTGTAAGTTTTGATTTTTTTTCCTAGGGCAATTAGATTTCAAAATTTAGGCCCTAAGCATCTGTGACAAGTCATAAAAGAACAGAGCAGATGCAATTTAATCAATTGACGCTGCTGTATCTAGCTATCAACTTGTATCAAAAGGTGCACTTGTGTGTCTTTTGTACAATCAACTATTTACGATCATTATGACTCTTTTCCTGAGTAATCTCATTGGCCTTGAACAAAAGTTCTTATAGCATGAATGTCATTTTATGCAATGCTAGGTTACGTGACCTCTTTTGAGATGGTAGTAGCAACTAGTTGTGCAGTGATGTTAACCTATTGTGAATGCATGCCACAATATACCATGTTTAATTATTTCGGCTGACGAAGCATGCAGAAACCAATCTTAAATACGGAATAAATGTTATATTATCTAGTTGATTCACTTGTGTAGTCTTAGACATTATGTTACGTTGTTATGTTACTGCATCTCGTTGAACAATAAAAAATCAAATCTTGAAATGGGTTATAAATGTGCTAGTCATTTGTGGGTCCTTTGAGTTATCTTTGTTTTGTAGTGTGGGATGGAAACCTATGAAGAGGCGCTTTTGACAAAAATGATTATGATTTTTAATATGATAAAACTGTTTTTGCACTACACGGTTAACATCCGCAAAATGCCACCT